AATTTATATTAGGATATGAATCATTGGGATGAGCTGTCTGTTGATGATGCATATGGCCTTGGGTTATTGCCTCTCTCCTCCTTGATCAAACATTAGCTAGTTTTTAGCCTGTTTCAGGTGTTCAGGTAGTGGGGAAGGCTCAAAGAAAAATTGAGCAGGAAAACAACAAGGGGGTGCGGATTTTTCCCATTTGCTATCCATTTCGCACCACTCTCCCCTATGGAACTGTCCACCCATGGTCATGATCAGGTAATGTGGAATAGTTGTATTGTCTAAGAAAGCTGAGATCAGTGCTTGATCCATCTGTTAAGCAGATCTAGGAAACTACAATAAGGAAAACAGGAGGTGTCCTCTCCATTTTTTAGCAAATGGAGCTTAAAGCACACGTGCTAGATTGATAAAAATTTCTTGGGATTGTTGCTGAGTGTTCTTGTTACAAGCAAGTGAACCAAGGAATTGTCTCCTTCTCAGATGTTCCCTGCTCATTTGTTCCTACTAGCCTTACCGTGATTGTTTGCTCACTAGACAAGGAGCTGCCTGCAGTCTACTGGTATGCCTGTGCTGACAATGAACAACCTCCTAGCTCATCCAATCTGTACCACAGGACACCAACTTTACCTCACTGTAAACTCCTGTGTCATTCATTAGGCATTTTAGTCCCACAGTTGCCATGATACACATGAATGGGTCCAGAACAGTTGAAGTATGAATCAAAGACTTCAGTATATCCGTGATCCTTCCAGAAAGTGCATAATTGACGATTCCACGAACATGGAAGGATGTGAAAGAGTTCAGGGTATTCCAAATTGATTAAGGAATAAAAGTCTTGATCGCCAAGGTGCCCTTGAAAAGAGTACCTATTGGCAAGTTCTTTCACTATACTGCCATTTAAGAGACTGTTGTACAGTTTTGATTTGCGCATGTTGTGTAGATTGACTAAGATTACCCCACTGTTAAATCCTGTAAGGCCATTAGGAGGTGGTCCGCCGACATTTGTGCCAGGATTTCGGTTTCGAAACATGTGCAAAACATGTCTATAGACAGGTTGTTGTTCTCTTGCAAGACCAAGGACCATCCTGGACTTAAAGGTATCAAACTCAGAAAACAAATGCTTGATGTCTGCTTGGAAAAGCAAGTCTGAATCCAGTGATATGATGCGCATCATATTTTTAGGCAAAACATGATGAATTGCAGTTGATACAAAGAACAGAGAATCACTGTAGTAAGAATTGGGATCACCATTGGTAAAGATAGGCTGAAACATAAAGGAAAAACACAAAGTGTTGATTGTGGGATTAGAGAAATCAACCTTGAATTGGTTAAATGCATTTTTACAATCCCTGTATGAAATCAGGTAAGCCAAACCAAGACCTTGTATGAAACCAGGTAAACTGTTAGAGTAGCCTGCACCACAGGTGGAACTAAACTTCTCGCTAAGTCCATCTGTACCCTGCGAGCAGGAGCTATTTTTCGCTGTGTGAGCTGTCGTGCCAAAAGTAGCCTCTGCCGAAAAGCGTTTAATTTTCTATCGTGCATGCTCGAAATTCATCACGCGATTTGCAAGCAAAAGTAATCATAAGGTCTGTCGTCAAATCGCACGAGTTTTCGCAGTAATAGAAAAAATTGCGACAACTCTGATCTGCTACCCAAGACTCATGCAATGTTCCAAACCGGTCAATAACAGGGAAAAAACGTTTTTGTAAATTTATTCGTCCAGATTTCTGGATGGATTTGAAAGGTTGTCGATAGAGGCTACTTTTCGCAGGCCAGCTCACACAGCGAAAAAGTAGCCTCTGCTTGCAGGGTAGTCCATTTGTCAAACACACAAAAATCCTTATTGTGGGCCCCCACCTGTGCACCAGGATTCGAGTACACACCATAAATGAATGGCCTGTTAACAAAGCCATTATTGATTTGCCAGTAATGTTAAAGGGAAATTCGAAACTCATTTCTGGTAATAGTATTCATCTAGACCGTTGAGGGCCCAGAACTAGGATGTAAGTGTTACCAGTCAAAATTAAATTCAGGCTAAAAACTTTTAAGCTAGGTTGATTCTCAATTTCCGTTTTTGTCTCCTTGCCCTAATTCTTGAATTATAATCAGGTCTAGGAGACAAAGGAAACTGAGTATCGACCTAGGTTAAGAACTTTTAACCTGAATTTAATTTTGACCTGTAACATAGGCTTTGCACGCATTACAGTAAAACACCACTTATAAGAACCTAAAATTTAAGAACCTGTCAGGCTTAAATTTTCATTTCATGCATCCTCCCAAGAGTGATCAACATGAATTTTCTCCACGCACTATCAGTACATTATCAAAAGAAAAGGTTATGAGATTTAATAAAATGATAACCTCAGGGAAAATGCTTTGATCTTACGTCAAATTCTTTCAACTACTTCTTTACGGAAGTGTATGGAGATCAGTTTGGAGAATTTGTATGTGGATATATTGGCGTAATGGGTTAACTGTTATGGAAACCATGTTTTACCTTGAGATCTTTAATAACTGGCTGGACCTTTTTTACCACCTCCCCAACATCATAGTATGTCACATTCAATCCATTCCTACACACTTTGGCAGCTTCATTAAANATCGACCTAGGTTAAGAACTTTTAACCTGAATTTAATTTTGACCTGTAACATAGGCTTTGCACGCATTACAGTAAAACACCACTTATAAGAACCTAAAATTTAAGAACCTGTCAGGCTTAAATTTTCATTTCATGCATCCTCCCAAGACTGATCAACATGAATTTTCTCCACGCACTATCAGTACATTATCAAAAGAAAAGGTTATGAGATTTAATAAAATGATCACCTCAGGGAAAATGCTTTGATCTTACGTCAAATTCTTTCAACTACTTCTTTACGGAAGTCTATGGAGATCAGTTTGGAGAATTTGTATGTGGATATATTGGCGTAATGGTTAACTGTTATGGAAACCATGTTTTACCTTGAGATCTTTAATAACTGGCTGGACCTTTTTTACCACCTCCCCAACATCATAGTATGTCACATTCAATCCATTCCTACACACTTTGGCAGCTTCATTAAAGGTATTGTCACTTGTCAGTTTCCCCTGATTGTCAGTTAAAATATGAAAAGTCAGATGTATTGTTGAATGTGCACATATTGACTTGATACAATGCTTGAACCGTTGAGCAAGGGGACTTGTCTGGCCAACTTTGGCAAGCACCATGAAGATGTTGTTCTTCTGTCGAGAAGAGTCACGCTTTTGGCTCTTCTTTCGATCTTTCCTTACAGTCAGATTATCACGTTGTGCTTTGTGCATTTGCTCCCCCTCTTCTTGTGATATCTTTGTTTCTGGGAGCTCTTCATCCTTTTTAGCTACTTTAGGAAACAATGCATTCCCGGCATTTTCATGATTCTTCTCATTATCTGGAATTTTCTGAGGATTTAAGTCATTTTCGCTCTCTACATTGCTCTCGGCTACCTCAAAAGGGGATAACTTTCCCGCATTTCCATGCAATCTTTCAGTGTCTGCCATTTTCCGATGGGTTAACTCATTTTCACTTTCTTCTTCTTTTTCAGCTTCCTCAAACGGTGGTAATTTTCCTGCAAGTTCACGAAGCCTTTCACTGTCCGGAATTTTCCAATGAGTTAAGTCATTTTCAATCTTTTGTTCGTGATAACTATCTTCTTTTGCATCTGATGCCTTCGCCTCGAAATTCATCTTTATTTCACCCGACTTTGCGAACTTTTTCTCATTTTCTTTCTCATCGCGTTCTTTCCCTTTCGCCTGTTTAAACTCACTATTTTCTAATTCAACACCTACATGTTTTACAGGCAAAATAGGTTGGTATCCCTTCGCTTTAGAATGAACAAGTTTTCTGTTACCCACACGTGATAAGCTGCCAGCCATAATATTTAGCTCGTGAAGATGCTGCTGTTCCGGAACCGAAGAATAAAGAAATCGGCTGGCGATTACAAGCAGTACTAACAAAGTGATACACAATACACGGGCTGGATGCCTCATGCAGTAGCGAAGCAGGGCTGAAACGACCGCCATCTTGAATCTTGTCCGAGTTTTTAAGACACCTGAGTCGGGTAGGGTAGAAGTGATGCCAGAACCTTGACAATCTTTCAAGCGATGGTTTTCATTTGGCTAATTCTACGTTCTTTATCACATATGCTTTAATTTAAAAAAAAATTAGTACTTATATCGAAAGAAACTCGTGTTCGCAGGATTTAAAAATCATTTGTTTGTGTTTTTTTTTTTTTTTTTTGGTTTTATCCCCGACCCCATCCCCAATGAAATAAGATTGGTCAGCAGTGCACTGTTACCACAGCACAGTACGTCATGTATGGTGAAATAATCAACATGGCGACCTCTTGTAGACTTCGCCTTTTTAAAACTCCTTTACGATTGCTAGTTTCAAGGTCCTTTTGCGTGAATGAATCTTCTAAAAGCCATCGGAACTTTCTACCTTTCGATAACAAAGATGTAAGATCCATTTTGAAGAAAATCACGGGTCGCAACTTGGACAAAATCTACTCTGCACGCAAACAAGATCTGACTGTTCCCACATACAAATTAATGACAGATTCCGAGTTTCTACAGGTTAGAGATACATCTTTTTTACTTCAAAGGGTACTTTTGCTGTAAGATTTCCGTACAACCCCATACATTTATTATACCTGTAGCATATTTTTCATACTATCATAGGTAGCCCAAGCTCGAAATGTGAGCATTGGCGAGCATCGGCGTTGTTGCGTAACATTCAAAATGTAAGGATTTGTATAGGAAAAAACCTATCGTTTCTCTAACCTACGAAAATGAAAGGATTTCAACAAAAAACAGCTTACCTTACTTAAAATGTGTTTTACGTCTCTCCTGTGTGGTCCACGGGCCGATTTATGGCCGTTTTATGGGTTTCATATTTCGAGCTTGGGCTGCCTGTGATACTATTTGACACATGCGTACAATGTACATGTAAGCTTATGTTAAGTTATGCATGTTATGGAGTTGTACAGAAATCCTACACCTTTTACTTATTTGAAGATATTTCTGCAGTATCTCAGCCAACAGTCAGGCGATTATCGGCCATTTGACTGCTGACACATTTTTCTTTTAGAGCAGGGGGAGGGGTATGTATGTGGTGGGCAGAGGGTGGGGGGGGGGGG